TTTTATCCTTCGAGTATATCCCATTGGAAACTTAGAGTCAAGTTACTATCTTTCAAAGTTCACATGAAATAATTTTTGTCTTCATGTGATTAAACCATTAACTCCATATTCGGATCCATTTGGTTTGTTTTTTGCTTTTTAGATATTACTTTTTTTTTAATTTAATTTTGCTTTATAATCATGTAAAATGTTGAAATGGTTCTAAAGTTAAAACTTTAATTCAGAGTATCGTCAGAAAAATCTAGTTTCTGTCCCTCTACTCTATTTCCTTCCATAGGTACCATTTTATTTATTTTATAGTCTATCCTTACATTATCTTTTTAAAATATAAATACATACATATTTGTATACTTCCCCCTTTCTCAGATAAACTGTATCAAACTGCGTCATTTCATTTTTCCACCTTGCTTTTATTTTTACTTAACATTATACCGTGGAGAATACTTCATAGCAGTGCATAGAGATAATCTTTGTTCCCCTTTACACTTAAATACTACTCATTGTGTATCTGTAACAATTTATTCAACTAGGCCCCCAATAGGCATTTGTGTCATTTCAGTCTTTTGCTACTATAATTGATGCTGCAATAAATATTTGTGCTTTCATCTTTTTATACTGTACCCTTGGGATAAATTCTTAAAAGTGAGAATACCAACAGAAAACGTTAAACTTTTGAAATTTTGCTAACCCGGTATGAAAGAAAAGGTTCCTCAATGTAGTTTTAATCTGCATTTCTATTACACGCAAGACCAACTTCTTTCCATATGGTAAACAGCTATTTGCATTTACTTCTCTTAAATTGATTATTCATATCTTTAGCCTGTTTTCTAGAATTGTTAAGTCTTTTCCTTCCCTATTTTAAAAAGCTTATCATATATTAGGGACAGTAACCCTTTATCTGTGATACAAATTGCAAATATTTTTTCTCATTTTGTCATTTATTATTTTATTCTGCATAAGGTGTTTTTGGTTGGTTGTTTGGTTTTGCATACAACAGTTATTTTAATGTAGCCACATTTATTTTTTCCTTCTGGCTTTTGTATCTTGAGTCATAGTTGTAAAAAATGTTGCCCTCTCTCAGATTATAGGGCAGCCTTTCTAACTAAGTGTCTTCCTCAGAGCAACAACACAGGCCCCACCAGCATTGTGTAAGAAATGCAGACTCTCCAGCTCCATCCAAACCTATTGAATCAGACTCTGCCTTTTAACAAGCTCTCCCTAGGGAGTTAATTTGCACATTAAAATTTGAGAAGCACTGTTTTAGAGAATTTTACCCACATTTCCTTCTAGGACTGGTAAAGTGGATGAATAGTTCTTAATTGGAAATCATCGGTGAGCCCTTATTCATAGCTATTAAAGAAAATCAAGGAAGAAATGAGGCCAACACCATCACAGGGTGTAAATGGAAGGCCGTCTAGACTACCAATATTATTAAATACAGATATGGGAATCTTCTATTAAAATGGTCTTTAAAAATATATCTTTTGCTGTGCTAGGATTATTCGATTGGCCTATTGATCCATCATTTTATGAAACATCTGTGGACAATATACTAGTGAAAAGTGGGCTTTGGTTATTTTCCAAATGAATAGCCCTATCTCCTGTTGTTAAGCTTTTCACGATTCTCATGACCATAGACTTAGACTTTGCAAAGGAAAAAAATAAACCTCCTTAAGGCTTGCTGCACTGCACACGCAAATTCTATTTCTCTCCCACAAGCTGCAAAGATAGTCACATGACCTACACTAAATAAATGGGTGGATAAAGGATTCCATAGAAAGATTCTTGTCATGCCTTTGCATCTAGCACCATGTAGCTATTTGTCAGTAATTTTCATTTCTGCCAGAATGCGTTATTCAATCTCCTTTGCCAATAGGTTATGTAGAACCTACTCAATAAAAATAAACATACGGAAGAATTAGATCTTGACTCAGCTGTTTATAACAGCTTTTTGCATTTTTCATTGTCTTGGAATGCAAAAAGATTTTGCAGGAATGATTAAAGCAGGAATCAGCCATGATAATATGGTGCTGTCATTCATTTTTAACACATGGGCTTGGATTCAAGAGCCACTGAGAGTTCCAAACACTATTAGAGAGAAAAATAACTGCTTTGAGGTACAGAACTGGGCCTGAGACTGAACTGAACACGAGAAACATTCTGGTATAAATTTAACAAATGATTTCTTCCTCTAATTTTCTTTTGACTTTGCTAGTATTTCTGAAGCAAAGTATATTTGAAACTTAGATTTTAGGTGCGGAGAAAGGTAGGTTTTAAAAATATGTGTAAGAAAATACTTCATAAACTGTAAAGCAGCATCTTTGTTTTGGTTATTGTAGTGGAATTATGGTTCATAGTTCACCTTTATAAAAGGCAGTAAATGTAATATTCCAAATATAGATTACTTAGTTAATGAGCATCCTTAAATAAAGTAGCAGCTTTCCACAACCTCGTGAGAGATGTGATCTGCCCGACTTTGCCGTATCTGGTGACCTAGGCTTATAGAAACTATTTCCATCAAATGTTTTCCTGTAGGCATCGCATCGGTCTTTTTGCACAGATAAAATACACAGTTAAAATGATCAGCTGAAAGGTGTTCTCATAAAGTGCTAGTGGGAGTATAAGTTGGTTAATTTTACAAAATTTATCAAAATGGCAAATATAATACATAAATCTTTTGACCCATCGATTTTACCTTTAAAGATTTATCCTGCAATAATATTTACATACATGTGAAATAATGTATGCACAAGGCTATTTCGAATACCAAAGATTAAAAACAGCCTACCTATCCATCAATGGGACACTAGTTACATAAATTATGGTACATCCCTGGAATATCATGCAACTGTGAAAAAAAAAAATGAAGAAGCCTTCAGTGATATGGAAAGATATCCAAGATATATTGTTAATGGAAAAAAGCAAGGAACAGAGCAATATAGTATGCTGCCATTTAGATAAACATTATATATATGCACAAACACAGAAGAGGAAAAATATACATATATAATTACATATATGTATATACACAAAAAGCAAATAACATTGCTGTGGGGAGGAAAACTGGATGTCTGGGAGACAGGGACATGAAGGAGACTTTTCACTATATGCTCTTTTATACTTTGAACTTACAATTATATGAATTCACTACTTATTCAAAATGTTTACAGGTTTAAAAGTCAATATATACATTTGTACTTATCTATTTCCTTTTAAAGCACAGTTGCCCATAGATTGTAGAGGAGTCTGACCCTCTTTTCCTCCTTGCTAGCTGAAAAATATCTCCATCAGAGTCATTACTCTGGGGTACGTGTGACTGGGTCCTGCCAGGCTTTTGTCAGTACTTGTCCCAGTGACTGCAATCCTTACATCTGCTGGCAAATGTCTCTTAAATAGACTTCTTGCCTGTGTGCCCACTTCAGTATCTGAACATTGCCTTCCCCTGGAATTTCAGTCGCCAAGTTCTGCCCTCTTTATTGAGAGGTCCCATTCCTCTGTTCCCATGTTTAGTCCTCCAATTCTGACCATTTTATTTGTTGTTCCCAGTCAAACTCTTTAAAAAAAAAAAAAAGAAAGAAAACTGATAGTCAATTTATTTAAAAGGCTGAGTTAAGCATCTACAATGGTGACTTCAACCTCGACTACTGGCTCAATACTGATGGAAGTAATCTGCTTAACAACCTCAGAAGGACTGCGCAAGTCAATGAGTCGCTTGTGGATCCTCATTTGAAAACGATCCCAAGTCTTAGAACCTTCCTCACTGGGAGTTTTTCTTATAGTGATTCTGAGTCTTGGTAGGCATCCGAACTGGTCTTTTGCACTTTGATATTCTTATCCTTTGCACCTCTGATCAAATCAGCACACACCTTCTCCAAAGATTTTACGTTGCAGCTGGTCAGAGTAATTCTAACTCGGTGAATCGCCGCCTCTGGTTCCACCGGTGTCTTTCCGGTATCTTTAAAAGCCATCGCTGCGGCGCGGCTTCCTGA